GCTCTGACTGCAGCGCTGAGAGGGACTCCTGCAGGAGCGGTAGACCGGGGTTGGAATGGGGGAGGCGCCCCATGGCAGCAGCTGCCGCTGGAGGAACGATACATGCTTTAACTAAGAGTCTCCAAAAGTCGCCAGTGACACCATAAAGTCGCCAGATTTGTCGCTAGTCGCTTTTTTGAAAAATAGTCACTGGAGGGCTCTGAAAAGTCGCTAAATATCGCTGAGTTGGCAACACTGCACCTGCGGCGCTGCCGTATTTTTTTTTTCTTCCCCCGTTTCAGTCAAGTGGATGTGATGACGACAGCGGCGGATGACGCATTAATCGTGCGACACAACTAATCGATGATGAAATTCGTTGCCAACGCTTTTAAAAGTTGATTTTTATCGATTTTATCGATTCGTTGTTGCAGCCCTAGTCACAATATAAATTTGCTATATGCAGATGATTTCAAAGTAGGACGATTCTGCTCATTGAGTATGTAGTTTTACCTCATTTATGTCTAGTATGGATGAATGTTCACAGGGGGCATATATGCAAAGAGACAGCATTAATCTAATCTAATTTTAGATTATATTACCTTATTAAAAAACTAATATGGCTGACCTCTGGCTTCCCACCAGTTTGGAATAGTTTTCACAAAGTTATGATTAAGGCCCTCTAGAAATGTAGAATGGTCTAATGCAGAGATCACAGATTAGCGGTCCGGATCTGTAAACACCTGCTGGCTAATCCGGACCCAACCTGATTTAAAACATTTATAAATTACTGCATGTTGTCCGACGACGGTGTCTAAACGTCACATGTGCCGCTTCTCCCGTTTTGTACCGTAAAGCCCCCCAGAGTGTCCGGGACCAGGCTACACATGATGCAAATTAGCCAATGAGCTGCTGTCAGTCTGAGTTGCTGCTGCTGCTGCTACTTTTAGACACAGCAGGAAAACCTGTGGCCAGCCGGGCGATGGGAAAGAAGGAGAAGACTATGAGGAAAAAATGACCCTGCACATTTTTAGTATGTTTGGCTCAACCTGCTGCTGTGAAGCAGGATTCTCCACCATGAACATAATCAAAAATAAATATAGATCCAGGCTCAAAATGAGCACCTTGATATTTAATTGAGAATGGCATTCAAACCCAGGTTTAAAGCCTTTCATGTCAACCTAAAGCCCACTGCTCTCATTAAGCCAGAAAAAAAGAAAGGAAAAATAATAATAAACGGTCAGTTCAGGTGTTTTATGAAAAAAAAAAAAAAAAAAGTGACTCAGGAAATTGTCTTTATACCAAAATAAAAGATTGGTTGTTGTTCTCTACTACAAAAACAATTTAGATTTTAAAATGGAAAAAAAAGGTTCTATTTTTTATATTTTTTTATTCAAAATTCAATGTATAACATGGATGCATAAATGCTCATTTTATTTAAGTGTTAAATTCTTTTTAAAGTAAGGGATTATAGTTAAAAATGTCTCCGGAACTTTACTGGTTGTTGATTTTCTTTATTCGGACCCTGCTAATTTTTAATTGGTTACCCCTGGTCTAATGTGAGTATGGAGTTTAGTGAGTTCAGAAAACAGTGCTAAAAGCTATTTCAGTCTTTCTATTTCTATTACTTCAGATTTGGCCTTATAAATGCAGTTGCTCTCAAATCCTACTGCAGCGTTTGACATCATTCTCTTCCCTGCTTTTTCCAGGTTTACTTTGTCTTTGTAGGACAAGCACTTTGCTTGACCTCCTTCTCAAACAATCCTGTGATTTTTCTTTTCTAACCCCTTCATTTGAGTCTTGGATGTCTTAATCCCCCTACAGACTCTGGCTATAAGCTTTGTGGTAATGCCTTGCCTAATCCTCTTCAGTAAAACACACTCACGTATTAACCTCAAAGCAGTTTACTCACTTACTGGCTGCTTTCGAACAAAGCAGGATTGTTGTTTGTGTTACAGATTTGTGTCGGTGGGACTGCTTGGTGAAGGTCTCCCTAATTGTACATTTTCCTGTCTTTTAAGTAATGTAGGAGGAAAGATAATCACACATTATTTACAGCTTTAAGCAAGATGTGTTTTTTTTTGAGTGGGAGGTTAAGTTTTGTTATGACTCAATGCAACACCTTCTAAACCACCAAACACTGTTTTTGTTTGTTTTGTTATCTGTTATTTTATTATTATTTTTTTTAAATCAGCCATTGAAACACTAAAGTAATTATAAATCATCTCTTCTCAGCAATCAAGACAAGACAGCGGTCTTTGAAAGTTGACCAATGATTTTGCTTATTATTTAAATTCGAATCCTAAATATATGTCCATGGAAATAATCGGTTTGGTCAATCGTGGGGAATTTGCTTTGTTTTAAAAGAAATAGATGAAATAATGGTTAGAAAAATCTGAGTGTAAAGTCTCTAAATATTGTTAAATCTTACTTCCAGTTTATACTACATCAGTCATAACAAACAATTATCGGTACTGCTGCTGTTAATAATCATAGAATATCCTTCTTTGTCACTCTGGCCAAATCAAAATAGAGTTTGTATTTATGCAGAAAACTGTTTCTAAGTTAGGATTTTTTCAAACTCAAAACTTTTGTAAAAAAAATTATCGACAATTTTACACTTTTTATTTATCTTCAGATAACTCTCGTTATTCGAACCAAACCTATTTCTCTTTGTGTTCTTGCATGATTGTATGAATCACCTTTTTTTCTTTTGTAGGAAAACTTCTACTCAATTATGGATGTTATGAAAATACTCAGATTGCATTACTTATTTAAAATGTTTATATTTTTTATACTTTGTATCTTACCTTATGCATAAGTTTGGTTAGGGTTAACTTTATCATCTTAATTTTCATGTATTACCGAGAATGCAGGGCTCTGTATGATGCTAGCACAACACCCAGACAGTTTATCGTAAATCACATGCAGAGAGAAAATCTTCCTTAGAACTGAAAGACAAAGGTTTTGCATTTTATGTGGAAAGTTTCAAAGATAGAAATGTTTTTAATTGCACTTATTTATACAACAAATATGAATCAAACCATTATAACCTAAAGCACTATGCTGACCTACATGATTTCTCTACGTTTGCTGTAGCTGGCATGCAAAAAACAACAACACCGAACTGAGTGACTGTTTATTTTGTTATGGCAAAACTCCAAAAGAAATGGATAAATTGAAACATAATTTCATTTTTTTTATTAGAAATCTCAATAGTAAAAAATAAACTAATTTTAAAAACTACAGTGTAAGAAATAAATGAGAAAATACCTCTTATTGTTAAGGACCATAAAACAAAGCACATAATCTTTTAAGCTAAATCTATCTGCATTAGACTTGCATTTGTGAAACACAGAAAACAAAACAAGTTTTATGTTTGGAATAAAGATTCAAGCAGCCTTGGTGTCCTCCAGAATTAAGTTTATTAAGCATTTCTGTTGTCCATAAATCCATAATACCAACCTGTTCAAACACACAGCCTTCAAATGAGCTAAAATGCCTCTTAGCTGCGGAATAAGCTGATTACTTACTAGCTGTCTCAGACTGGTACCTAACTCCTTTAGTGGAGGAACACGCTTAAATGTCTGGAAAGTCTGCAAAAAAGACAAAACTCTTAAGTAGAAATGCACGTCTCATCTGTTCCAATTCAGTCAAAGAGAACTTTGTATGCATTCTACAATTTAACGCTGACTAGTATAAAGGAAAAAAGTGTCCTGTCTCACAACTTCAACACCAGTGCCTTTTCACACTTGAATTTGTGACAACCTATGCCTCCACCAACACACCTCCCTTATGTCTCCAACGCACACTCCTTTACAAAGGAAAAGCTGCTCATCTAAGATAAATGACACCACCATCTAAACCAGCACGCAGCAGAAAGTGCCTCAGTACATTCTCATTAACCCATAACGTGCCAATCATTGAGATCATGGTTACAAGTCTGTGGTTTCACAGCTCATTTCACATTGGAGTTTCTCCATCCTATCCTCATCCATCTTCTTCAGCTGCCTTCACCCTAAATGTCTAATCTCAGGAGTTTCCTGCTAGGGTTCTGTGGCTTACAGGATTTAGCTGGAGTTTCAAGTTAAGCCAATATGAAGTTTATACATAGTATAGCTTCTTGCACTGATATTCAAGTATCCCTCCATTCAGCACAGTCTGAAGAGGCTATGAAGATTTGGACTCAAGATGAACTTTGGAAGACGTGTGCACTGTTCATTATTCACTATGCATGGCTTTAATGGATTTTTAATACACCGTTACGACTGTTTGCTTGTGAATATGTTTCAAGATTCTGCTGTAACTATGTTTGGTGAAGCTATTGCTTCCTTTGCTATTTTTAAAGAATGAATTTTCTGTCGCAGATAGCTCATTATGCAG